AAATGTGTCCGGATGTTCCTTTTTTGTTACGGAAAGTCTTTTATTTATAGCCATTTTTATTTTAAATTGTGAACTAAGATTAAAATCTAATTGTATGGTTACAACACATTTTCGCGCTCCCCTGCACATTTGTAATATTTTTATTTGTGTAACTCTTGAAAATGGGCCAAATTCGAAAACCGGTTCACTTTATACAAAACAATAAATGCAAGCTGTATTGGACAGTTTTTACATTTTTCTTAAATCTATTATTATTGCGCTTATTTAAATTTGGAAAATTGTACCACCATATAAGCATTTTTACTTTCTATTAAATTGAAATCTACAAGATTCGTGAACTTTGTTTTTATTTATTTTAAAACTTTAAGAAACTACAGAAATTGATGTTTTTGAAGCTATCGTTGCAATACATTATGGAAATTCGTAATCAAAATATTTTCTCAAAACATACGCAAACTAATCTAGATCTTACTCTTGTGGATTTTACTTGTAATATATTAACTATTTATTTTCGGCAAAGAGTTTAGAAAAAAAGCTAAACCTCCTCATGAAATAAATTGAGTAACATTAATTGTATGAATACGTGGGCTGATGCGAAAGTAGTTGGGAGGCGTTCGGAAAGATTCCAAACTTAACGCATCATTTAACTTAAAATAACAACTAAAATACACATGTAATTAACATGTTAAAACTTCTATAATTATTAGATAAAACTGTAACAAAATAAAATTTACTCTCTAGAAAACAATACAGATAAACGAATAACAAAGTTATTTAACTAAATGATTTCTTACTTTTTATCAGAAAATATGTTTTTAAAAAGAAAATAATATCTAGGGATCTATTGCTCAAACAGATATTTGCAGAAATAGACAATACTCTCTCACTTAGTACGTACGCAAAAATGCGTACCTCACATTACTAATACCTCACGTTATTTTCGTTGTAGCAAGGAAGAATCCTACTGGAGAATTGGATGCATTTTTATTGGCGAAGAGTAGTTGAAGTGGTAATTTGTATTGTGATTCCGACGAATTTACAATGAATAGAGGAAGGAATTATTTATATAAGAGATTATTTAAAGGATTGTGGAGAGATTTATTCAGATGTTCGCATGGCACTGAGTGTAAATTATATACATTTATTGCATTCTATGTTGAATGTTCATGAAATTACTTATTGTAGTTCAATGAAATTTGTTAGTGGAATATTTTATATGGAATGTCGATTGTAGGAATTCATAGAGAAGGTCATATTTATAAGCTTTTGTTGGTAAGTGCTTCAATTAAGTATTTTTTTTATATTTCTAGCATATAAAATCTGTTTTTACATGGATAGCCGAATGGTTATGTCGCAATTCTCAGAACCCTGTGACCGCTTCTTCAAACCTAGCCATGCAAGCTCCCTTAATCACATAAGGTTCAACATATGGAGCTCTAACCAACGATATGGACAATGATAGTGTTAAGGATAGTAATAGATACACAGAAAGGGAATACTTTAATCATAGTGCATCAATATACTACTGACTTTATCCTACAAGATGACAGCCAACCAGTTTTTAAATCATCATCATTTATTTATAAAATTAAAATAATACATAATATAGGATGTGATACAAAAATGTAGACTGTTATGGGCTTTAGCCTCTTTCAGTCTCTTAATAACAGAAAGTTTTACAAAAAAAAAAAAAAACATCAACAATAATAATAAAAAAAAATAAACAGAGATAGATCACAAATAAATATTAGTAACAATCACTTCACTGCACGAAAAAACGAACCAACCAGTAAATTTGCAAAAAATAATGGTACAACTTCCATTCGGAAAGTTTACAAAAAAAATATCAATTGCCATAAGAATTACCTAATGTTCTCAGGAATAGATTGTAAAAATAAAAATCTATACAATATAATAAAAAAAGATATATTCCCTTAATGAAAGGTGAACTACTAAAATATTTTCGGTACAACTTGAGAAAATTATTGCAGATTGTTCATTTGCTAGTTGACAATCCTCTTGAAGATGATAAAACAGTAAAGGTTATTTATTGAAATAATTTTCACAGGGATTCTTCAGGAACCAGTCTACCGTGTATAAACAGTGTTTTTATTGACATATTGTCATAGCAAATGTGAGATTACAATATAATACAGTATGGAAATGATTAACTTAAACAATCTTTTTTTTTGTAGAGGAGAGGAAACCTTACATAGGGACCATGGGTGGAGTCATGGTACTGTGGGATTCTTACTGCACTAAAACATCTCCCCTTCTTCGCCAGCATGCAGGACCTGTATCGCTATTCCACTCTACGATGCTGATTGTCATTGTCTCTCTGGCACTTCCCATACATCATATTAATGCTGGTCTCCACTGCCACTATCCACGTAGGCTCTCTGCAGCCTCCGCTCGTCTTCTTCCTTGCTTAGCAGCACCTCTGTTATGTACGCCGCTACAACATTCCAGCTGTCCACATTCCTCAGCATTTCACCGATAATATTTTCTGGCTCTAGCAGAACTCGCAATTCTGACTCCGCCCTGTGCTTCCTTCCAACCCATCTGCAGCAGCTAAATAGTGTGTGCTCAGGGCTATCGTCCTCTTCGCAGTACCAGCACCTTTCATCCTCCTTCTTCGCAATGAAGTGCAGGTACTTCCCAAAGCATCCATGGCCAGACAGCGCCTAGCTCAGGTGAAATGTTGTTTCACCGTGCTTTCTGCTTAACCAAGGCTCTATTTGCGGGATTAGGCGCCGAGTCCAGGCTCCTTTCTCCGACCTGTGCCATTTTTGAAGCAATCTGGCTCTAGCATGCGCTTTGGTCGCGCCCCTCTGCCTCTCACCTCTCTCCAGAACAAGAAGCTCTATTGGTGGCACTCCAGCTGTCACCTGCACTGCGTCTCGGGAAATTGTCCTATACGCGCTGCATATTATAATTGCTCCTCTCCGTTGGACCGTTTCTAGCGCTTTCAACTTAAGCAATCTCAATTCTTCAAACATCATCTAAGAATATGTTCTGAGGAACACCCCAGTAATACGAGAAACCAGGAACGATAACAGATAAAAAATATTTTCCTATGTTTATCTCGTTTGAACTAATCTGCTCGATAAAGTAGATGTTACAATTCTATCATATACATTATTATTTAAAAGTATATGAAATATCGAACACAAAATCATTTTAAAAATAGATTAGTAAAAAATACTGAAGAAAAATATGTTCTTCTAATTAAATAAACTTTTAATATACGTAATTCAAAGATAAATATAGTTGTAGGAAGATATATTGTTATTTGTTTATGATTATATGCAATAAAGTATCATTTATTAAATAAAATGTTATTAATAAACAAAGACGTAGTTGGTTACTAATTTTCTATAAACTAAAAAGAAAAAAGAGAGGATGTAGGACGGAAAAAAATAACAAGCAAAATTGCAACAGCAAACTTTTTTTTATTCATATCAGATATTACATGTAGACAAGTATTTTGATAAAACCATAGTTTAACAGTTTACAGCGCAAGACATCGGAAGATCAAGAGACACCATCATCAATTATGAAATTATGTACGGTACTGTTTTATTTTATATATATATATTCTTGCACTCTCAAATTATGTTTTTCACCTTACTTTTAATTTAATTCTTTTTTTTATATATATTTGTTTGTGCTGCAGTATAAAGACTGCAAAAAGTTTACAATTTAGTTACTCATTATTCAATTTATTATTTACTTATTTTTAATTCATTTTCTTTTATTATATATATCAACTGTTCAGGACTAGAGCTATTGCAAAAATCGCTTGTTAGGCCTCGATATGATGCATAATGTATATATATTAAAATTTATATAATTTCGTTTTAAAGTTAAATGGACTCCAAATCGCTAAATTCTGATGAATGTACAATATTCCTTTTCCATTAATGTTTCTGTTATTGTTTCATTCTATTTGTTACAAGTCATATATAGGTAATCCTAGTAGTTTAGAGAATTAGTTCGAGAACACATATTTATCCAATATATCGTATATATAATATATGTAGAAGAATCGAAAGTAAGTGCAGGGTAGAGAAACATATCAGATCGTCGGAAATTAATCTGAGATGACATAACAAGGCGAGTGTGTAGACGTCGAAGGAGTTATTATTACCGGTATTATTCCATCAATTAGATTTTCACATCGACTAAACCACTAAAACATTCTACATTTTCCGTTCAAATTCTTTATCATCATTTTAAACAAAAATGCATTTTCATTGCGTTTGAATTTATACCGAGATTATAACTCCTTTGTTGTTTTTTCTTTTCTTTCATATATATGTATATTTTTTGTGAGTGTATATATAAGCACCAAATACCATCGAGAAGAATATATATAACATGCCTTAAAATATAATATATACCATCTACATTCAACTTCGATTCACATAAAACTTTAAAAACAGTAACATTGAATTTTCTTATTTTATTATTATTCATTATTATTTTTTTTTTTGATATAGTTCAAGAGAATTTACAAGGAAGATATTCTTTAAACGTCTTAACTAGCGCACATTCGAGCGATGAAGAAGTTAAAGTCGACTTAGGTGTTTCAGAAACAAACGAGAAAAAAATGATGTCCTCGTTCGCAGCAGTTGAAGTGTACAAAAAAAATCCGCTGAATGTAAAGATTATATAATTATAATATGTTTTTCTTTGTTTGCTTAAAAGATTCGAATAATTTATAAATACAATTATAAGAGTAATAATATTAGCTATAAATATGTTGTTTAGTATGTCACGGAATTTCGTTTATCATCATATTCATAATCATCATCAGCATCATCATACATATTTTTTTTCTCTCTAATAAAGAAACGTCTTCAAGTAAAAGGTACTCATAAATCGCCTTAAAATACTTAATCTAACTAAATTAAATTAGGATTAAAAAAAACGGAGACTAAAACTATGCGAGGGTGAGCATAACAATCCGCGGTTACTTTGTGTATGTGTATGTAGAGGTGTGTCGTATGTGTGAGTGTGTACGTTCGTGTCTGTGTCTTCGTTTGTTATCAAAGGTGTGATGTAATTATCGCAAATGTAGAACCGTTCAATACATAATTTAAATTACCAAAAGATACAGTACAATACAAATTAAAAATTGTAGTATTACAATGATACCGGGACGTCACAGCGGGAACCTCGCGATCACACAAGAGTGGTTTTTTCTTTGTTTTTTTTTTCTCTTACTTTTTTCTTTACATGTAACTTAAATAAGTAATAATAAAAAGTCTATTAAATGTTGATGCTTTCTTCATATGATCTGCTTCCTCTTTCCTCTTCATTTGATGTCGCCGCCCTCTCATCGGTTACTGAGATTGCGGGTCGCACTGGAGCAGCCTTACGATAGAAGGGTCGCTTTTCGCCCCTTCTATAAATTCATCCAAGCTCAACTTACCATCCTTATTTCTATCCATTTGACGGAATATTTTATCCGTACGCTTCTCCGGCGTACTCTCGTCCTCCGGCATTTTCATCACAGATCCAACCATTTTGTAGATTGCCTGAAGTGATAGATATACACAAGCACATTTAGAAAGACGTTTCGCTTTGCACACAAGATATACGATATACACACGAGTTCTCAACCTTCAAAGACCAACAAATTTACACAGAAGGATCAATACTTGTAAACATCATAAATAATATTAAAAAATTATATACACATATTATAACGTTATGACAATAAATTATAATGAATACAATTATACAATTTTTTTAACTAACAATTGAAAACAATCAGTCATTTATATTATATAAATATTACTAGTATTATGGTTTGTTACTCTAGAATGGTCACTTTTCTTTATCAGGAGCTATAGTCGGTTTTCTCTAAACCAACAATATTCAATTGTAATGTAATATTCTAAACTAAATAAATAACTTGTAATTTTAAATTATAGCAATACTTCGCATAGTTATGCCAATATTTCGGACTGCTTAAAACAAGATTGAAGTGATAAAACCGATCATTTATGTATAAAAAACATTGAAATTTCGGACTATAGTCAAGCTGTAATAATTTTCAACCGATGTGCCGTGAGACGATCTCAGTTGTGCTGCAAAAACTTTTTAAAATCATTAAATAAAATATTTTCAAAAGTAATCCTCTTAATAATTCATCATCACATGAGAACTTAACTATATGTTTCATTGTGTCATGAGATAACAAACAAAAATAGGTGGCAATCGTAAGCCCGGCAACCAAAATACCGACTGTATCGAAATCCCGACAACCATAATCGCGACTATACCAAAATCCCGATAACCATAATCCCGACTATATAAAAAATGTCTACAATTATTCCGGAGCGTAATCACTTTTAAATTGTTATTAATAATGAATAACAATTAATAGTCTAATTGTATTTGAGATTATTTCATAATATTAAGGTTTATTATGAATAATTCAACAAAATCAAATAATAATTTAAAAAAGTTATTGTAGAAATTTTCGATATAGTCGGGATTTTGATATAGTCGAGATTATGTTTGTCGGGACTATGGTTGTCGAGATTCTGATAGAGACCGAAGGGTTTGTACCGATTTTCGCTGGCGATGCCTAAATATATCAGAATTGAGAAAAACAAAGAACCTGTATATATTCTAAAAAAATGAAATTTCAACCATCTTGAGAACTAAGTTTGATTTGGATCAAATGAAACTAACACATTTAGTGCCCTCGTGAAAATGGACGAAAACAAAATACATTTTATACCATGATAATTTTTAATTACTGTAAAGCCTAAAATTCCACTAAATCAATAAATAAGATATATTCTGCTTACGGAGAAGTTGCTTTAGCTAAATGAACTTTAGGAACATAATTCTCTAAATGTAGAGACTTAAAGTTCTGCTAGAAATAATGATGAAATCAAAATAATCCGCACTACACTATAACGTAACAAAAACAACCTTCGATAAAAGTTTTTGAAGCTTGCTTACATAAACCGTTAAGATAAATGAGTTTTGCACAATTTAACGGACAAAAATCACGAAAATATCGGCCCTTATATACCTTTTACTTCTCAACAAAAAATGTTGGAGTCGAACAGAGTTGTATTTCTCCATCCGTAGTATTCACCAGACAATGCACTTTCCGATTTCCAAAATTTGAGTCTTTGCAAAATTCAAGAATGATTAATTTTTAGTCGACCTAAAGAAGTTCTTTCCAAAAAAACCTAATAAAATCTGAGAGGATATTTCAATTTCGTGAAAGATGAAATTAAAAACTTTCTGCACAATCCAATAAAAATTTGGTGGAAATATTGTGATCTATAGACCTGAATGCATATGGCTTGCATATATTATCATCAACATACATATAAAAAATATCAACTAAAATGCTTTACAGAAGTTATTATTATTTATGTAATTGTATATTTTGTAATAACTGTATTGAACAAAATATACAATTACATAATTAACAATATTTGTGGTCAATAGTTCCTTCCCAAAGGCTGCGACATTATCTTGTCGTAATTTCTGATTTTGTTTACTGATAAAGTTTAGTAATTGTATTAAATATTATTGCTATTATAAAAAATATATAATATATAAAAATATTATAGCAGGATCAAATCATTTGGTGATAAAATTTCCGGAGAATTTCCATTTCCCTTCATACCACGGAGATCCAGTAAATCTTCCGGTAATTCCTAGTTTAAATATCCAGAATTGGAGACCGTGACCTACATTCGTAATGAGATTATAAGCGCCGTTTAAATCTAGCAAAATGTGCACTGTAAATGTACTTTTAATAGCTAATGTTTATAACTTTAATTTAACGTTTAATACACAATTATATTGTATAATAATTACGAAAGTTTTGCATCTTATAATGTTCAATATTCATAAAATGCACAACAAATTTATGTTTATAATAACAACTAACTTATTGATTTAAATTTATAAAAAACAGAACAATTTTATAAACAAGTTAAACAAATTTAATGTAGTATTTACTACATAATTTTAATGTATATAATGACTAAACATATCATTTATATATGACTATTTGCAAATCCATTTTATTATTATATATTTTATTTTATATTGATTATAAAATGTTAATTCAAAATGCGTTGGCATGTATTTGAAATCATGTAGCTGTCGTTTGTACATCCATATATTGAAAGTAATTTAAGAGTAGTTAGTAACAAAAACAAATATTTAAAAATCCTGTATTAAAATAATAATTCTAAATTTTGAAGAAAACTTAACGAAAAGTTACGGATAAAATTTCTTTTCATCGTTGTTTATTTTTAACCATATAATGACGATCCATGTTTATTTTAATAATCCTGATAAAGCACAAGATATATTACAAGAATTTAGAGGGTGTGAATTTCGAGAACAGCACTTGAAGACACCATTTGTTAGTTCTCCAAGTGGAGGATAACGATCAGTGTGCCAAAACCCCAATTTATAATGTGGTGTCATCTCTACGAATTCGAATCGATTTTAATATAACTCAACTTTCTATGACAGATATTTGTGTATATTTTGAATTCCCAATTAACACCAGATTTAAAGAACACGTCAATTTTACGCTATTTAATTTTCATGAATACGTCACAATATATTTCTTTAAAATTTAAATAATTATTTTATGCAATTTGATCAAATATAAATGAATAATATTTTAGTATAGGATAAAATATATTAATATAGGATTAAAATCCTAGTAAATATTTATATTAGTACTTAAATTATCTTAAATAAATTCTACTAATTCTTATTTCTTATTTGAACCATTTGGACAAAGCTTTTTGTATGCGAATGTATATTAAATAGCAATTGCGGCACGATCAAACAGAACTTTGGGATTTTCATCAGTCGGGAGATGAAAATATATGTACAAAAAGGAGCTTAATTATCTCGAAGTTAAGAGGAAACGTATTTAGTAACCGAGAGACTTGAGCCGAATAAAAAAAAGCGGAACAAAAGAAAGATTCAAACCGAGGCGGAAATCCCATTTAGATCGATCCCTTAATTACCCTTTCTTATTTTCGTCGTTAATCCTCGATCTGCCAACTTATCTTAATGGCAAACCTTTTTATATCTCTAATTATACACAGTTTGCAAAGAAAAAAAAATAGAAAAACAAGGATACTGTATTTCAGTCTTTTTCAATCATTTTTTCTGTCTCACAGCACACTTGAGACTTTATTTAAACGTCCACAGCACACTTAAATCATGATGTACACTTATAGTATATACTTTGGAAAATAATTAAATTTCGTGATACACCTAAAATCCTCTCATGCACACCGGTTGAAAATTTTAAAATTATATGCTCAAACAAATAATTAACTTTAAGAAAAAATAATTAAAAGCAGCTTTTTTTAATAAAGTAAATTTTCTATACTCGTATTGACTGTTTTATGTTGGTTTGATTACGATTTTTTTTGCATTTTTTAATATTCGTATGAGCAAGAAATTTGTATCTTATACAATGTAAAAAAGCAACTAAATGAGTTTATCTGTTACTCTCATAATTGAATAAAGGTTAGATCTTACGCAGTTGAAGACAATAAACAACGAATCGATCATGATTAAATTAGTTTACTTTCTGTCGAACGTGCAGGTTGGAACTCGAGCAAAGTAAGTAAATTGAATTAAATATTTTTTGTTGGATGGGATAAAACCTACCGTAACAATCTCGAGCATTTCTTGCCGAGAGATGTATCCGTTGCCATCCAGGTCGTACATTGAAAATGCCCACTTCAGCTTCTGCTCCAATTTACCCCGCGACGTTACGGACAGCGCACAGAGGAATTCCCGGAAATCAATGGTACCATCACCATTGGCGTCGAAGGTGCGGAACACATGTTCCGCAAATTTGCTAGCATCTCCGTAAGGGAAGAAGTTGCCGTAGATCTTCTTGAACTCGTCTACGGACAAATGGCCACTGGGACAGTCTTTAAGAAATCCTTTATACCACTCTTGTATTTCAGCATCTACAATAATATATAGAGTTTTAGAAAAAAAAAATTTAGTTAAATTTATTTATTTAATAATTTAAACTCGCAATAGTTAACTTTTCCGTTGAACTGATTTATCTTCTAATTGTAAAATAGCAAATAAACATAACTTATTCATTCATTTTCGAATTGTTTACTTATAAAGAAATCCTAATAGATTAAAAACATCCATTATATTTATAAGTCATAATTTACATTATATTTAATTATACAGTGGAACCTCGCTTAACGAGCACCTCGCATAACGAGCATTTCGCTTAACGAGCAAAATCAATTGTAAGAAAAATGACTCGCCTAACGAGCGACGTTTCGCATAACGAGTGATGATGAGAAGAGAAGTCCCGGATTCTGCGCCTGCTACATCATTTTTAAAACTTGTGTACACATATTATGTATACTTTTGAATATGTTTCACTATACGAGTAAAAATCCGGAAATTTTCGTTAAGCGAGGTTCCATTGTACTATAAAAATTATGAAAGTCACTGATTATATAAAATAATTTTAAATTATTAGACTATAAATAAATATATATTAATATTAATATCATCGCATACAAATAAATACATATAAATATAACCTTTATGTAAAGGTGAGTATATAATATGCATGGATTCAAGTATTAATGATTTCTATCGTATTTTCAATGAATATGAGAGAGATATATTTATATTAAAGTATACACGAATGATTTAACAATTAACGAGTTATTAGTCATTGTAAAACATCTGTATTAACATTTATATTATATATTCTAATGATAACTTATAGCAATTTAAATGATATAAGACAAAGCTTATCTTTTGTATTTAACTGAGCATTTAATATATTACTAAATTTAGTAGTTTCGAAAGTTACAAAGACCTTAACATCCGCACTCAACTAAGTGAAAATAATTGTGTAATAGAGTGTGCATAGTCTAAGTAATACGAATAAAACAATTTACTATTATGATTGCATCTAAGCAAAGAATATGCACGATTGCTTCTATCATTTCAAACTATCGGCAGACGCGGTAAGCTAAAAAAAATACATAAATCTGAATTACCTGAAAATTCTGTATTCTGTTTGAGATCCTCAAGCACCTCGGGCTTAAGCTTGCTATTTTGTTTCCCCATGACTAGAGTATTGTGTATAACCTCTTCTATCCTATCTAATTCTTGGTCGACGGTCGCTGTTGCTTATTTTGATGCCCTACAAAAAGAAAGCACATGCAAAGGGGTTAGATTTATGAAAGAAAAGAAAAACGAACAGATTCGGGCAAGAAATGTAAATGGAGAAGCGAAAATGATGCATGATGTACAAGCTAAAATGTGTAGTGATAAAAACGAAAATAAATATTATATATACTTCATATATATTTTTGTCTCTTATATGTATATAACTGCCATCAAAGTGTTTTGTTCTGTTTCAAATTACGTTTTCTTTTTTTGTAATCTGCATTGTTCTGTTTAAAACCTACGACTGGCCTCTACGATTTAATTAAAAACTACAATCCGGGGATGGCGAGATTTGCCCGAAAACCATTGTTTTGATATAATCTTTGGTCAGATCAGATTTAATTGACTTGCTCTATCAATTCATGATGCACTGCGCTTCAGTTTATTTAGAACACCGTGATGTATATCAAACATTCTAGGTAAGCCTCGCCAGTCCCCGTCACAATTAGATTTTCCATTTCAAAGTCTTAATATTATAACATCTAGAATAGTAATAATCATAGTTGTAATCATAATAATGGTAATAATAATAGAACAGTATACGTACTTATATATCTTACAAGTATGTGCAAGTAGAAAAATATGAATATAATATACGAGAATGAGAGTATATTTAAAAAACGTATCGCCGCAAAGCCACTAGACACAATATGAGCATGCGAGAACGTCTCCTTCCATCAAACTTTATATTTTTTTTGTTATTATTTGCTTTTCTTTTACTTGATTTCAACGATTCCGAAGAACAAGAAACTCTGCGGCGATATGCTTCAGAATATAAGAAATAGATTTTTTAGTATATTAAGGAATTTTGTATAAATATAAATAGTATTTACGCTAGAGGTAATAACAAAATAAAAATAAGTTAAAATATGAGAAGATAGCAATCCCACGGTCTACAAGATCAACGAAAAATACCATAAACTATAGAACACAAGTATAATATAATTGTGCATCAGTTTACAAATATAATACTATAGAACGTTAATAATGCATTTTTTTAAAGATATGTATGTAAGGGCGAAAGGGACTGCTTTTTTTAAATATGGTGATAACATAGTTTGTAGAAGATACATTTATATATAGTGTCGTCGCCGTTTGTGAAGCAGGCAATTGTCAAACGCATTGAATTCGGAAAGGTGAACTATACAAGATAGGGTAGAAGAGAAAGAGACACATACATGATATGCTGTAAATATGTTTAAATACATGGAGTTTGTGAGCATCTATTTTAAAACGCGTTATTATTATTATTACACATAATCGAGAGTACTGACAGCTGCCGGATTATATAGGAAATTCCGGTCCGATAACGCAGAAAACGTACTCTTTAGAAGCGTCGCGACGCTGTTGTCCTCCGAATGCTTTAAGTGAAGTATCCTAGTTGAATAATAAAAGCGTGTCTATACGAGGATGTGATTGAAATGGTAGGAGGATAACTCGGAGATGGGTGGAGAAAATTATGAATTGAGTTTATTATTAAATGCGGTCGATGTTTGTCTTCTCATACACAAATCAATTTCTTGTTTTCTTTTTCTTCTCATGTACGCAAAATGATAAATGCCATTAACGTTATGCGTTTTACTTAATATTCATTTTCTTCTTTTGATTATATTTATACGGTTATTATCAAGCTTAACTGAACACAACCCTTTAAGTTCCTCTCTTTTTTTTGCTTTAATAAAAAAAAATGCTTGCATTTTTTTTTCTCGAGAAAAAAAATTAAACTAAATATAACCGGTATGTTTGCTGCTGATGTTTGTTTTTGTTGCTGTTTTTGTAATTAATTGTAGTATTCAAAACTCGTGATCTAAGAGCTCTTGGTCATAGTTTGACTAATTAATGTTATGTCATAAATATACACAATTAATTGTATTTTTTGTTGCGATTCGCGTCTTCAAATTGCATCGCCCCCTATTAAGGCGCCAACATCTTCGAGAGCTCCTCATCCTGCAGACATCCCTTCAAAAACTCGTCTTGGGTGAGCTGACCGTCGTTGTTCTCGTCCATCTTCGCAAATATGTTCTTTGCTCTCTCTTCGGCAGAGTCTGCTGGCCGATTGGATGAACATGCACCGAGCATATCGTAGATTGCCTGTAAGAAAAAAAAATACAAATTAGTTACCATATACAAAATGTTGAACTTGTGAGAAATGCGCGTATGTTTACGTTGTTTATGAATTCCAAAATCCGAGAATATAATCATATCAATTATATACGAAATTATTAATATAGTGTATTTCATATCATATCGAAAATAATATATATTTTATACTTAATATAATGAATCATAACGTCAATGCTAGTTGTGATTCGCTTTGAAAATATTTGATGGCAGAAATAGGTGAGTTTCAATAGGGAACTTCTAGGCAAGACCTATTTAATTTTATAATATAGTTAAAAGAAAGTCTCTTTCTGGTTTCGCACAGTGCGGAATATTGTTGAAACCAATTACGCGCATAATGCGAAGTACTATATATGGATTCTTAAAGATAAAAATATTCGAAGGAATTAAAAGGAAATCAAAATTTAACTAACATCTGCAATTCGGCATAGCATTGCAATAATTACTATTACATATATAACAACGTTCGATCAATTTTTTTCCGTGGTATACGTTATATATGCATTCATGATCGATAAAGCCCTAAGGACTCATTGCAAGCGACAATTCAGATAAAAATGTGAATGTACTTTATACTAGTCACTAGTCGAAACAGATCGGCTTTAAATATTGATTATTAATAAATTGAAATACGTCACATTATATTTGGTTGGTAACTAAGTGATTGCGTATTTTAAATAAGAAGGAAAATTAAAAAAAAGGTTTTTTTTTGAATGCATGTATGCGATACATTGAGCTTCTCTGCAATCTCACAAAAGTAAATAACTAATCAATACAATTGAATTACTAAATTAAAGGTCCAAACAACAAGAAAATATATAGGTTAGGTGCTTTGAACACGTTGACAAAAGTATGTGCTATTCACAAAATCACTTATTACCAATCCAATATCTTATTGCGTCAATAAACAATTAATTTATAATTTAATTGAACAAATCTATTTTTCGCTCCACAAAAAAAAAACATTTCAAATCGCATATTAACAGAAGTGAGATTTTACATAAAAACTCGGAAACAATCCTTAAGGATTGGATTAACATCTTAATTGCACATTATTATTTACTTGGTGTAAATTACTTTCGCTTACAATTCATATTAAAAACAACGATATTCAAATTGCTGAACTAAACGTGTATGCATCACAATTGAATTGAATTAACGTTCAGATGATAAAACGAGTTAACCTACTTTAAAATCACACAACCGTGAAACACACGGTATTTAAAAAGAAAGCAAAAAAAAACCTGAGCATTTCAATCCGACGAGTATACTTCATCAATACATAATGCGACATAATCCGAGGCTGCCAAGCCTACAACAATGCAATAAAATCCAGAGGCTGTCAGAGTAGAACAAAAGCATGATTTAGCTCAGCGCACTTATCATTTTATATTTTATTGCAGTATAGTTTTTCATTTATTTTCTCTTTGCATCATATCATGTTTATACGAAGATTTATTGCTGAAGAATTAATGGCTTCAAAAACATTTGCTTCATTTTTTTTTCATAATTCCCATTTTGCCATTACGCATACGCATTTCTTTTTTTTTTTCACTTTTTTCGCTTTCCGCAATTGATCGATTCCACGAAGCACGAAAATACCGAATGTTTAATTAATAGTTGATTTATTGCTTTGATTTATGCGAGTTTTACCGGCGACCATTGCAGAAACGACAGTCATGTTTTAAAAAATGTAAATATGTATATGCTTGTTTTCCAAATAACGGTCAAGAATTATTTATGAAATTGTAGTTGACGTTTCACGTTTTACAATCAATCAATATTTTCATCTAAGTGTAGTTGCACTAGAAGTATAAAATTTTACTAAAGTGTACAAAAAACAATGATTGGCAATTATAATCAATTTAGTTCATTTATACAGCTAGAAAATATACTATTTTCTAAGAAATTGAAATAAATTTCATGATGTTTAGTAGTTAATATTATAGATTAAATTTTAACTCTTGTTTGTCTTCATTATTGTCTAGAAAAGTTTGCACATAGCACGGTGAATCGATAATTCTTTTGCAACGTTAACTACGACAACTTTTCTTTTCGAATTTATATGTAAGTGGAGCAACTAATAGTCGAACGATTAAGTCGCCCTACCCACAATTTCGTGGGCTACAGGCCCTTGGAGCCCTCTTGGAACTTGCAGGGCCATCGTTCATCACAGATGGACAGTCAAATGAATGAGGAATGAGGACCTTCAGCCAAGTCGATGGACAATGACAGTGTTAAGGACAGCAGCAGATTCACAGTCAAAGTAAATAGTAGAATCGCAGAGCATCAATATCCTACTGAAGTTAACCTACAAGACGACAGCCAACCAACAAATTAAATCATCATAATGTTAACTATCCACCGGGAAAGATTATAAATTTAATGTCAACGCGATCTTAAATTTACTAAATTTTTACATTGATGAACAGATTGTGAATAAAATTATACGAGATAAAAAAAATATGTAAGTAGTTTGACAACAAACATTAGTTGTAACTTAATTCAATAATTAATAATAAATTTATTTTAAATTTTATTTACTCAAATATGTTTTTATATCATAAATAAAGTTATAATCTATTTGTTATAATTTTATATAAGAAAAAAATATTTTAAAGAAATTTTTATCAAACTTTTTGCACTTTAAAGGACCCCCGAAGAATGGGTATGTGTAGAAAAACATACCGTCCCGTCTGCCATCAATTTTTCTGCGACCCCCAAATATTTGTGGGGGGGTGTATGACCAACATTTTGAGAATCACTGGTCTAAACAACTAAACTATATATTTCATATTTCTAATTTCCAAATTTAAAAAAAATACAATTAGATCCAATAATTAATATAGTAATATAAAAGTTTCAGTAAATTCAGTCAATTGTATAAAATATATCAGTTTAAGAACTAATGCATTTATTCATATATGTTTCGTATGTAATCTATCTTCGCGAATTCTTTTCATTTATTGTTGAAGTGATGTTATTATATAAATTTCTCGGCGATATTCAATACGTTATTCGTGAAAGGCTTTTAGCTTTTATCTCACTAAGCTTTTCACTCGTCTGTTATGTGCAGACTTTTGACATAATCATAATGAATATCGTTGAATACGCATTGAATTTGAAAAACATATATATATCCGATCAATTCCTTTTTAGACAAGGCATCAATTGAGAATGTTCAGAATATCCATTAAATATTTACACAGTCTGAGTACTCTATTAATATTAATGTGTTACTGTGCGCAAAGTTCTAATCTGTTTCCAACATTATTTATTCATTGAACAACGATTTCCTGAATTGAAGTTTGTGATCTGAATTCCTGAAGATAAAGTGGTAGGAATAGGATTACTATCGATAAATGAAATATCAATGTAAAATACCGACATGTATACTTGTAGTATAATACAGTATTAACTCGTATAGTAGAGGTAATCAACTAAATAAAATTGAAATAAACCGCACAAATAGACTTTATTGTATAAAAAGTAAAAAACGATATTTTTTAACTTTTTTTTTACAACTTTACTCAATAAAAATTTTGTTTGTTTTCAAATTTATAAACGGAACTATGCTTTAGTAAGTACAAAACAAGGGATTGCTGTACCCAATTACAACTTTTTTCATTACTTGTATTTTATTTTATTTAGAATAAATGATATAAATATTTATAATAACTATAGTGCGGCCAATAAATCTTATGTACGTAATAGAATATATACATTACATTATATTTATTATTATCCAAATAACAATATTTATTGCAATAGTTCAATTATATAAATAATTACAAATAAAAAATCGTTGCAAATCATTCCGACCTTTATAAATATTTATACAATAAAACACATAAAAATAAAGTTATATACGTTAAGTATATTTTTTATTAATATTATTTGTAATTTATAGAATTTGAAATATACTTATTTGAAACTAGACACATAATTGCATCATCGATATTGTGCCATTATGTGTCTAGTTCAAAATTAGGAACGAAGACTGATGTAGTGATCAATCACTTAGAGCATTTTTTTTACGAAGGAACAACCAAGTTACTTTTGTAGGAATATTTTAAATGGACGCATTCTTACGTCATGTAATATTAAATGGACAAGTTGAATATTATATAATATTTAAAAAAAAATGTACGTGAATACAGTATAATTTAAAAGCAGCTCTTACATTTTAACAAATTAATGCTAAGAAAATATTAGCACAATTTTCAGGCGAGATGCAGGGGAGATTTGCAAAATGCAAGAAATCTAATTAATGTAATTGTACAAAAGAAGCTTAAATATTTAACGTAGTTTTATAATCTTTAGTAATGCAACGAAAGACAAAATAACGTTGAACTTTAACACCGAAATCCAATATTATAAATAAAATAGGTGGAAAGACTAATCTTTTTTATTTGGTTAATAATTATTAAAATATATTATTTAATATCTAAGATCAATAAATGCATTCATCATTTCGTTCAAAATAGACACTATATTAAACTGATTTCTATTGAATATCCTTTACTATACAAACTTACTGCCTGTAATCAACAAGAACGCTAGTGACAGGTATTTCCGGTCGTCTAATAGGCCGATCCTTTGAATAATTGATAGATTATAGTAGCATTGAAATTTGTATTCTCAGGTTTATGTATTCACACGTCTTGTATTAAATTTCAGTAAACAAGATAGTACATTGGAATAACATAATAACATTAATCTCATGAGTATAGAATATGGTATGCAACAAACATGAATTACTTTTTCTTACATGAAATACTGATAAGTTTATGTTCTATGCAATATTTAATATCAAATAAATATTTTTGTTATCTGCGCTCTATTTTAAATATGTAATAAACTGTTATAACATCAATATATTCTTCTTGACAAAAGCTATATATAAATATAAGCGTATTTCTATTTGTAATCTAATACAAATCGAAATATTATAAATAACATGTATAACATAACAAACTTTTACTATAAAAATAGTAGACAATAAAGAATTAAAGCATTAACAAATTAAATGTAACGGTATTAATAAAAATATATACACCGCAAATGAATATTGACCATTCATTAGGAAATTATTTCAATTAAAAATATGTGTGTACATTCATTCATTTTGATGAATGCGGTGAACATGAAACGCGCCACTTTTATAACCCGAGCAAATTAAATGTCAAATACACATTTAATTGATGCACTACAAAATGGAATACATTGAAAATCAATATAAATTTTAATTAAATAAATATGGACCAAATTTACGCAAATACAAATATTTCGTTATATTTATAAAACATTGTTTTCATTTATTTATAAAGCAATTTATGCATTTTATTTTAATAAAAATATATTTATTTTTACTGGTATGAAAGTAACAACGGAAATTAATTTCCCACAGTTATATAGAGTATTACGGATATCAAATATCCATCCTTTTATCAAAAGAAAGTTGCTGGCATTGTTCGTCAAAGGACTTCCACGTGCAAGGAAACACATTTCCTTCTACTTTGTGTTCGCACACATACACTTAATCTTCGGTAAAGTGTTCCTCTGTTATTCGGCGACGTACAAAATAAGGCACTTTCATACCGATTTGAGCGACGCTTTAAGAACTCGTCGGTAAGAATTTTGTTTTGCTTTGTTACTTTCTTCAATTTTCTGTCTGTTTCACCTGCTTTCATAAAGCTCATAAAAATAACTTCCAGCGTTTATACATAATATTATTGAAATTATAAAATAGTTCAATGAAATACTCTAAATAATAATATTAAATTTATAATTTAGAACTCATAAATTTGTCAAAATTGAAAATAAATTAAATTTTATAAATAAAAACACAGAGAAATCAATACAGCATAATATAAATGCTGGAAATCGTTTCACCCCATATCTCAGTTTTGAAATCGTACTAACAAACATACAAAAATAAACCGCAGAAAAAGAAACTGTAATTAGAAAACAAAATATCATCTCTCCACTACCAGAGGTGTAATTGTAATATGTATACATGAATGTTTTTGTAGCGTAAATCGCTAATTTTATACATTATAAATAATAATTTATTGTACATAAGAAAATATAAATTTAGATTAAAACACGTATATATGGACGACTTTCCAATCACTCACAATTTATGAAAATTACCTATAAACTTGTGGGAAATTAAAACTTTCTTGTTAAATTGTAAATTAAATATACAAATACGGGAGGATGCGCCGGGGTCTCTCGTTATTGAACGGGTTAAGTTTAATGAAAACTTTGGATATATATTAACAGGATTTAACAACTTTCATAAATCAATGTTTTAGGAAAGAGGATTACTTTATTTCAATTTCACTTATTAGGGACAAATCCTAAAGAACGGAAACAAAACCGAGCAAATAAATAACTATTGGGACAAATATACTAATCCTGATGTGTCCCGATTAAGCGAAATCAACTGTATATAAGTGCATTAGATAATCGATCAACATAGATTTTATTAAAGACAAACAAAAAGTTAAATATAAAATTGTATTCACTCTTTATTGAATGTTTATTCTCAGACAACGTTTGTGAAATCACTCGTTCTTTCTCAGATAGATATATTATTTATAAACCTTTGATTGCGTAATGAGAGATTGACGCAAATGCGGGTGTACGCCCATACACCGGGCGGAGACTTGATTAATTTTGCATTTATGAACAGGGATTACTATCCAATCAACGGTAATCCATACCGAAGTTTTAATTTACTGAATGATTTACGAAATTCTCTCCACGCGCGTTTCCCCCCCAATGCGTACCTTCCGATATTCCCAAAAGTATCCGAAAAGGATTACGGTGAAAGGTTTATATTTTCATCAGGGACACATAAAGTATCGTTTCCCGGATATAAAATCGGAAAACTTATTGAAACGGATATGAATCATTTTCAATCCCGTCTTTGTGGCGCACCCCAACCTGCAGCGTTTATATTGCGAGGAATTTATGTTGTTGCTTCTTTTTTATCTTCTTTTGGAAATAGATTTTGACTTGGATTTAGATAATACCGATATAAATATGAAAAAAATATATAACGAGATTGTTGCAAAAAAAATAAATACAATTCCGACCCGATTAAAGAGTTTATCAATTAAAATTCATATTTTGAAAAATTTTGCATTATTATTAATCCTGACAGTGGACTATACTATACAGTGGAACTTCGCTTAACGAGCACCTCGCATAACGATTTTTTTATCGAATTAATTAACCTTTTCAAAGAAACTGATACTATACTGATCTAAAACCGTTACATAAAGAGAAAACTATGCAATAGAAACATATTCAAATTTGTTATCTAACACTACAACTTAATTCACATTTGTACAATTCTTGTTTTGATTATCAAGAGTTAGAACTTTTTTTATTTTATTAAAAAAAGGTTTGAGAAGGATATTATTATTACATGTTGAAACTTCTCTCATTAGATAACCATGAAGAGGATTGTTTGAGTTACATAATTTAGTCGGTCTTGAGTGCTTTTATTTCTGCAAATGCAAAATTAATTCCATACCTTCATTTATATAGCTTCTATTATTGTTTTACTATGTAAATATAAATTTTGTAATACATAACATTAAGATTAATTTACAAAATTTGTTAATATTAATGTTATTTCATATTTTTTTTTTAATTGAAAATAAAATTTAATACTTTTTAAAAACGGGTCTATATCGCAAGCCCGATAACCCGATAGACGGTCTCTATTGAAATCCCGACAGTATCAAAATCCCGACGTTCGAAATCCCATCTATATCAAAATCTTGACAACCATAATCCCGACTGTATCAGAATCTCGACAACCATACTCCTGACAAACATAATCCCGACTATATCAAAATCCCGACTATATTGAAAATTTTTACAATAAAATTTTTAAATTATTTCGGAGCGTAGTCAACATGTGCTACACTTTTATTATTAATAACAATAAATTATTATTAATTTATTTAATTTTGTTCAATTAATCATAATAAACCTTAACATTATGAAATAATCTCAAATACAATTATTATTAATTGTTAATATTTATTATTAATTACAATTTAAAAGTCACTACGATTCGGAATAATTTAAAAATGTTATTTTAGACATTTTCGATATAGTCGGGATTTTGATATTGTCGGGATTATGGTTGTCGGGATTTCAAACGTCGGGCTTGCGATTGCCACCGTTTAAAAACATGTGAAACTCTGTACACTTAAACTTGACCTGGAGTAATAAATTACATTAATTATCGATATCAAATAAATTGAACTGAACGTTAAATAAAATAAATAGTTTGAAACTGGACAAAACAAAATAGGCGATTAATTCTACTTTGTTGAGCAACAAAAGATAATTTGAATTAAAGAATAAATGAGATGTTCAACAATTATTCAACAGAAACTTTCAGAAGTTTTTATCTGTTGCACTCGAGAAAACATACTGGAACGTAATTTATTAGTTTAGTTTCTACTTTACACCGGGTATTTTTTAGTATTAGAAATATGTTTGGGAGGAGAAAGCTTTTGGGTAAATCAACTTAGAACGTAAACTCTGTTACTTTCGCTGCTCTCCCGAGGATCTTACCACAATTCCAATTACATCAATTATTCACGGGCAAATGAAAAGTTTTCGCCTGTTTGCTTTCGATGAGCCCTTGGGTTTTCAAGACGCAGAACGTAATGGCAAAAGGCAAAGCTCACTCACCTGAACGATCTTAGTCATTTCTTGGATATCTATGACTCCGTTCCCGTCCACATCGTACATACGGAATGCCCACTTTAGTTTCTCCTCCGGTGTGCCGCTCGACGTCACATCGATCGCAAGTAGAAACTCCTGTGGATAAACGAAACCATTTTAGTAACTTCAACATATATCGACATAACATGGACAATTTTGTGTTGGACAGACTATAAAATTATTGTAGTACTTCTGAACATGATTGTGCAATAAAATGGAAATTTAGAATTGGGAGAAACACTTCTCATCAATTCAATTATTTTTATTTACTTTCAAATGACAAAAAGAGTTGATTTACAGTTTATTCATATATTTTTTGACTTCTTGTTAAAAGTATATTCACTATTCTGGGTAAATTTATGAAATTTTGATTTTATAGCAAACATAACATAATATGTTATATTTCTTGTTTTATACATAAATTATCTATAAAATAATATATAAATTTATATTAAAGAGGCAAAATTATATACAGAATAATATACACTAATTTAATTATTGTAATATATTATATTCTGATTTAAAATAGTAAATTTTAGAGTAAACAAATATCCTTAGAAGAAAATATAATAATTTAATAAAACATGCACATCAATTAATTATATTTTAATCAAATGAGTGTATTGGTAATATAGCAAAAAAAAATAGCAATAAATAATTGACAGTTCGTAATTTAAGTTATTAATAATATTGATGTTTACTGCACATTATTAATAGTTTAATTATTTTTCAAGTTCTGTGTAAACCAAAACCGATGTATTGACTAAATGCAAATATATTTTAAATGCGAGATTTACTTATAAAGTCAACAAACATGCAGCTTTGCATATCAAAGCCAGCTTATGGAGTGGCATTAAGGGTTTATTCAACGTGGAATTAAATATTCAGTAAATTTAAAACACTTCAACTATTTCGGAATTAAAATGTCAGACATGTCCAAGTGGAAAATATGAAATGAGATTCGTTTAAACTCAAATAAAATGCAGCATTTATACTTCTTTTATACAAAAAAGAATTAAGCAATGTAATACAAAGATAGAAGACCACATAATTTTCGTGAGAAATATCTATTATAAATATTTAATACTTAATAAAATTTTATGATTGTGGTAACAAATGTATAATAAATAAATCTTCAAGTGTATATAATCCATATTTAGATTGTTGACCATTGTATTTTGTAACTTTTTCAGCACAAAGGATTTACTGAAGTCATGAGTGTAGGGCATTGTTTCATAAGTATCGTAGCTGTAATATAAAAAGCGCACAGAATGGAAGGAAAGAGGATTAAAAATCAGAGTTTTATACAACAGAAATATACCTTCAGTTTCAGTCATGAGTAAAAATAGGTAAGTAAAATACAAATCTAATAAGTATATTACATACAAAATTACTAATTTAATATTAGAATTGTTTGAAATTAATTAATTATTATGTTTAAAAGTTAAATTTTCATAACTCGACAATCTTATTGTTTTACTTGACAAACATAATTTCATAAAGAAAACAAAATGACAACTTCAACATATTAATCTCATAAAATTTTGTCAAATATCTATTGTTACTTGTAAGTAAAGAGTGTCTACAACTAATATAAAATTAAAGTAAATATTCTTGTGATATGGAGACTCAAGAGGTAATGTGATTCTTAATGTTATAGTATTCAGAATAGAGTATTCAGAAGAAAATCCTACACACAGTGAATAGGTATTCAATTTGGTTAATTTCCTAATATACTTTTCTTATTTATACTTTTCTGTTCTTAATTAATGCAATTAGTAATGAAATATATATTAAAATGTTCAAATTCGTTCATGGTTTATGTGCATTACGAGTTTTTTTTATATATAATACGGATTGCTTTATAACAGATGAATAGATAGCTTTATTCGGTATATAAAAAATATTCGTATCAATATTCTTTATTTCAGAAATAAATTGGAAATTTGCATCGGACACACAGAATTCATTTTAAACTGAAATTACTATTGTTATTTCAACCGGCAATGCTCTTTTGATAACGCTTCTACCGAAGTGCGTATAAATTGGAAATTATGAAATTTGTATAAACACTCGAACATTTCCACAGGTATAATATTAGCATCGATAAAATTAATATGTAATCAATAAAATATATTCCTCTATTCAAGTCGAACGTATAAATTAAATTTTATCAGGCTCCAATATGTTACACTAATTAAAGTTGAACAAATTACATTTTCCGCGCTCATCAGTAATCAAAAACCGTGAAAATCATTTAACGTCGACCGTCCAAATTAATTAGGTTAATTAAACTTCAAACATTCACACGATATTAATATTAAGGGAGATAAACTCCATAGATAATTCTACTTCTAAATTAAAAATATCATTGTTGTATAGCAGCGTTTCTCAAACTGTTTTGGTTTGCAGCGCCCTTAATATATCAGAATTTTTCAGCGGCGACCCATGTCGAAACATTGGTCTATCTCAGGGCGAACTTTATGTTAATGCAGTTTGGAATCCCTTGTTGTAGGGGTCTCTTATTTATTATATTTATATAAAATCGCCGCTCCGCATTGCAATACATCGGCGTTTAAACATGGTATTAAACATGGCAAGGGAAATCAAATAAATACCAGTTATTTACTAGGATTAAGTCCATATTTATATTTACGACATAAAAAGAAGTTTGTGAGCCCACATGAGGATTAAATTGCAGTATACGTATGTGAAGTGGAGGGAAGAGAGAAATGTTATATATAAGGAGGGAGAAAGGGTGTGCAATATATATGTTTTATATACTTTTTGCTTTATTTATTTTTGTTGACTCGAGGATGAGCGAGAAGAGGAAGCTGGCAAGAAGATATATGCTCCAAAACCAAATATCCCCAAGTCAAATAAGTATCATACATTTTTTTACTTATTGTCACTTCATCCCTCCGCATACATCCCGCACATAAATATTTGAGGAAAACACGCACGGAAGAAAAGAAAGAATAACGCGAGCAGAGAATGAAGAGGAAATAAAATATGTCGTTTTGATGGAGGGGAGAAAAGTAATAAAACAGGGAACGGATATTCTCCGAATGTAGAGGAAGATAAGCGATGGATCCAATATTACATTTCGTTTTTAGCACTCTGTCTTAATGAGATATAAGATAAATCTAAAAAAGTTTTTACATTTACTTTCTATTATCATATAACTTTTAATAAAACTATATCATAACTAATAGCAGTTGATTGACGCCTACAAACATAAACTATTATAAATTAAATTGCCAAAGATATAGAACAAACAACTAACATTTTCAAAGAAATGGGAATATATTTTCTACCATAAAAAAACTTAATTATGTAACATATTTTAACTTAAAAGTATAAACGTTTAATTCGTATTAGAAGTTTAATATTTACTATGTGGTATACCATGTGGTTGAATTTTTTATTATGTTTATTGATAAATGATTGAAATGTATTGTTATAAAGAATTCAGAAAAATTACATAAATAGGATTAAATCAGTAGAAGCAACACATATAATTACGAAAATGTCCAATAAGTAATCGTAAACAGGTCATGAAGAAAATTACCAATAAATGCGGCAAATATTTACACTTAATATAGAATAATGCTTAATAATGAGAAATAATTATTTCTGTTTTTTGGTCGTTTTGCGTTCTTTCACTGTGCAATTTTAACATATTACCAAATGAATATCAAAATGTTATTTGAATAAGTCATTTATTTGTTGAAATTTATTGGTGAAATTGTCACATCTATTTGTTTGTATTAATTAATGGTAATTTGTACAATAAATAGTCAGCGGCTATCAATATTTTGATTTAATGTGTTATTTAACACTACACACACGTTGACATAGTGCATACTTATTTGCATATAATTTTCCAAACTAAAATTGAATTATTATTTTTGTCTTTATAAATTGTAATGATGAGCAGCGTTATTCCGTGTTGTCGTATATTAATAAATTTATAAAAAAATAAAAAAATGTTTATAAAATATAAAAAAAAACAAAATGAAGTTTATCTGAAATATTTTATTTCGATTTCAATCGTGTTTCTGATGTTCGTTGTGCTATGCGATAAAAATTGAATTCTTTGAAAATGGAAAAGTGTTCGGCGGATAGATTCATACCTAGACGAGCTGGTGAGGACTTTAACTTGTCAAATTTTAAGCTGCTAGCGAACAAAGATGTGCACATGCCGAAATTCGATTTGGACCATCCGCGGTATTTGAACTACGCTCAAATGAAATACAAGATGAATAATTACGTCGGTAATTTGTGGCAAGCGATAATGGAGAAAGACAGAAAAGTGTTAAATTTTACGGAACCGAAGAGATATAAAAGATGCACAAACAGTTCGTTGGTGAATAAGGATTGGCCTGTGAAAGCAAGGAAGAAACCGATGATCGGAGCGCCGAACATAGTATTGGACATTCCGGATTTGAACACCAACCTGTGCATGCATATTACAGAATGGGGTAAATCTGGTTATTTGGCGTCCGTGTTCAACAAGGAAATCTGCCTGTGGTGTCCAGAGCTATCGTGTGATGGATTCACTACGAACACAGGGAAGATGGTGAACAAATGCATCCGGTGGAGCACGGACGGAACGCGATTGGCATTCTCTATGAGCAAAAAGAACGTAGGCATCCTTGACGTTGACGTAAAGAAAGTGACGAGAGGACAATGCGGATGCTGCTACTTTTGCACAATTACGGCTATTGCCTGGTGCAACACAAATCAATATCTCCTGACCGGCTGCACGAACGGCGTCCTCAGTTTATTCACATCGACATTAATGCTGATGCAAGTCTGGAATCCGACACATTGCGGGCCAATATATTCAATAGAATTCTCAAGCCAAGGCAACTACTTTGCGACTTCCGGTGAAGACGAAATAGTGAGGATGTGGAACTGGCCCATCCAGGAGAACCTGGAAGTGACCATGTACGAGAAGATCTCAAGCATCGCATGGCATCCATTCCAGGAATCACTTCTGGCCGTGGGCAAGTTCGAGGGGGAGATCTCCTTTTGGAACGTCAGCTCCGCGAAACTTGCCGCCCAGAAAAATTTATATTCGGAATGCGACTGTTTAACATGGAACGAGATCACCGGAGAGCTTGTGGTGAGCTTATACGGCGATGATGACGGTAAGAAGGGCTACAACGAAATACTCGTCCTTTCAAACACCAACACCGTAGTAGACGGCATCGTCTGGCATCAAGGTCCTGTCCCATATCTAATGTGGAGTCCGGATAGACGGCAATTGGCAACTGCAGGCGTTGACGAGAACCTATGCATTTGGGATTTCCTAGAGCGTAAAAAACAGAAGGTCTACGAGAACAGGAAGCCCTTTCAGAGTAGCAACTTTGGAAAGTGCATCCGATAAATGCAACAACTCACGCCTCTATTTTTTTAACCTTTGTTACGTGTTAAATTATTTTATTATATTTAATAAACATTCTTATTTTAAATAACTTAAAAAACTAACAACAATAAATAAAATGTTTCTTAACTAAACAATTTATGAAATTAATTCGTGTTTCATAAATAGTAGCACAGCAAATGCATTGTAAATATTTTAATTAAATAGAAGATAAATAGATCATAATTAAATAATAAGTTAACAAGAAAATATGATTATTTCCACCAGTCAATTCTTCAAGTTCGAAAAGAGGATGAAACATAGTTTTTCAACCTTTTTTTTGTCCCTATGCATACAATATAGTTAAATTTCCGCTACGTACTTGGACCTAAAGTTTAGCAGTGTGATACTTAAACAAAGAAAAACCTTTGGAACCTTTTATTTTATTTTACTTACAAACTTGGGAATCAAACTGTTTCTTGAACTTTTGTTCCAAGTATAATCCGCGATAGTCGTGGTTTAACTATGAAATATCACCTAAAGAAAAACTTCTATACTTCAAAAATAACTGCAATAAAATAACTGAAATATGTTTTCCCCTTCAATGTAATTTATTCAAATTGAATTTTCCTCATCTCCGTGAGTATGCCTACCTCTTCTCATCCAGCATTATTATATCAGCGAGCTAACTTTAAATAAGTTTTATACGATTTCCTGCAAATGTAAGAACACTCCAAGCATATTTCGGATGCAAATTGCGGTGGATTCCATAATAAAGTGGGCCGAGCATGCACATACAAATAAGGTGCATCAAATAACAACCGGATATCATGCATGGAAAAGTATTTGATCGCCACTATTAGTTAGGAAGGCATAAATAAATAGTTATGTTCACAAGGAAGTACAGCTTGAAGTTCAATAAATATAATTGAGATTATAGTGCGATTGTCCAATTTCGCGCATCCATGATTCGCGATTTAATCTATATTATTTAAGAAAATAAATAGAAATAAGTTAGTTCTAAAACCCTATAATAACATCAAGAATGTACACTCGGTCCTCTTTTTATGAAAACTCTTTTTATGCTGTTTTTATTTCAAGTAGCATTTTTTTAATTAACTATTTTTGGCCATTTTGACACGTTTTGACACAAATTGGCAAACCATTTAATCGAAAAAGATGATAATTCTGAACGAGCATTCAAGTTTCAACGCGAGCTTCAGAATTGCATTTCTGGATATCAGGAATTGTACAAAAAAATAGCAAAGCCATCGCAAAGTTTAATCACTGATTATATTGGTAAAGGGAAAAAATCAACATGCGAAGTTGAGACTAATTTTACTTGTGAAAAATCATTATCTTCAGGACATAGATCTGATATGCTGACTATCTCTTCTAGTGATGAAAGTGATTTCGAACCAGTTGGCAAATTATGCCGAACACTCTCATAAAGCGACGATATTTCTAAAGAAAAAAATGTAAAGAAAGATTAACTTTCATAAAAATTCTGTATTTTTTTTTGTAAAATTTTTCCGTATAAATTTAATAAACCCTTTTTATGCGATTTTCGGTATATTGTAACTCATTGATTTAGTTTTATGCGGTTTTAAAAATTATAGAAGGTATCATTCCTTTTTTGTGCGATTTATTTTTATACGTTTTCCTGTGGAACCTATCTACCTCATAAAAAGAGAACCAAGTGTACGTGAATTATAATAATTTAATGGTTAAAGTGTTCTTTTTCTCTGAAACATAAATCAAAGTTAATAACAAAGTTTGTTACGTGATCACAGCGTGAACGTAACGTCGTCGGCTGTAATTCCACAATTAATGCAAATTATAGAAGTAAAAAAAAGTGTAATAAAACATTAAGCGAGTGTGGTTAAATTTATTTGACCCAGTTGCGAAGCAATTTAGAATTTAATGTGAAAATCGTTGGTCGGACTTTTCCTTCCAACCAGTCAATAGCCAGTTACTTCACAGGTCTCAATATGAGCAATTTTCAACGACACAATTTCAGTTGTTTGGTATTTCTGATCTTGAACGTAACATTAATTATAAACAGATCTTGCTGTTCACTAGTTGTTAGCATTCAAGAATTCTCTTACATTCCGCCATTAAATTCTAATTAATTTGAAAACGTAATATGTCTAGAGCAGAAGCAAATTTACTTAGATCCAGATTAGGTGCACGGCATCACCGAATTATCTCCACTTGCTCGAATCACTTAACTCAATTTCTGCAAGCAAGTTTTTTTTTTATTTTGTAATCAACGTAAATGAATACGAGCACATTTCGTAAACGTAAATGAATACAAAAGTGCTTTCAATCAACTTAAAATAGTACCATTAATTATACATTGCTCATTCATATTATTTATTCCTTCATCAAAATACTTTAAGCTTTTACATCAATATTTTGGCAGTTTCAATACAGTGATTTATGTAGTATACGAAACTGTAATCATCACCAAATTGATGATAGCAGATTCAATAGAATTTTCTTGTGGAGAGAGAAAGGAAAAACGGTAACTTAATTTATAACTTATCAAACTAAAGCGAAAGGGAAACGAAAAAAGAGAAGTGATGAAACCGAGATGAGCTTCAATCTATTAGAGGCTGATGTACATTTGGTCTATTGATGCTGTCCAATCTAATCTTTCATAGGATGAAAGAGAGTAACGTGTAAACATTAATCATCCAGCTTCAATAATCTGGGAGCAAATATAATTAAAAAGACATTAATTAAAAATGTTTGCGTCAATGTTCATGTATATGTACGTTGACACAGGGTTTTAAGGGTAGTCGGAAGAAAGGAGTAAATAAAAACAGAAAATCGAAGTAAATTTAATATCTGATCGAGCGGAAAAACGGCGGAGGTCGCGTAAAATGTATGTAAATTTTCCAATTTACATACAGTTCCGACAAAACTTTGGAATATGCCTCTCGATGAAGTTTAGCGGATGAACGATTAACTTTTGCAAATTCAACATTCAACATTATTTGATAATTAAAACTGCATGACAGCTTATTTAATATTTCATCATAGTAAGGGAAACTTTGTTCTTTAACAAGAGGAAACAAGTTACTATTTAAACACGAATTGAATTCATGAAGAATAAAAAAATAATCGAGTCATTCATGTATAAAACATGTCAAGATCTAAAAATAAAAAATAATCAATAATTGCAGTGTTTGCAACGATTTGTAAGCCAATATTTTAATCAAACAGTAGTTCTATTTATTGGAGGTTTTTCACAAAGTGAACTGCATAATTTTTGCAATAAAAAAAAATATAAAAAAAACAATAAACAGATAAAATTACATTCAAATAAAATTAATAGAAATACTCGATAAATATCCGTCTCCCCATGTTACGTTAAACAATCATTCCATTTTCCCTTCACCACTTGTTAAATATCTTGGAATCCTTCTTGATGCTAAACTCAATCTCAATTCCCATTCCAAACAACTCCAATCCAAAATTAAATCCAGATACCGTCATTTCCGTTCCTTAACCTTCCGTAACTCCGAAATATCCATAAAGTGCATCCATATACAAATCAATATGCCGTCCTATCCTTGACTACGGCTTCCCACTACTTTCCCAATGCCAGAATCCTGTCCTAAAAAACCTGTCCGTATCCGAACGTTCCGCCCTTCGTATCCTCACCAAAATACGACATCCTAATCCTCTACACAATCTTCCTAATGATCTCCTTTACTCCAAAACCAAACCTCTCTAAATTATGTGCCTCTCGAAACCCAAATATCTTTCCCAAATTTAAATATCCCACATTATCCCTATTCCAATACCTAATGTCCCTCGATTGATACACACTTGTTCCTACTCTGCTGTTTTTTTTCCTCATTATTCTGTTTTTCATTTGTATATTATTATTGTAATGTTGTTATTATTCCATAATTAAATTTATGTTCCCGGGCGGAAAGACCTCGGTCGTTAGCCCTTTGGCCAGCATATTAATATTTATTTTTTTATGTTAGAATTTAATTATTTATGTATTTTTTTTTTCTTTCGGATTGATGTCTGTCCAATAAATTATTATTATTATTTAAACTTAAAAAAATAATTTAAGTGTTTTATACAGAATAATGATCAAATAAGTAAATGTGTAGTGCTTTTTGATGTTTAGGAGTGCAGAGCGTAAGAAAATGCCTTGAGGAAATCAAACTTGGCGAGAAAACGGAGAATACCATTTAATGAGGAAACAGACTGTTTAAATATTTTATCAAAGATAATGAACACTATAAGAAAGAGCATTTGATTTAAATATAATAGAATGAATTTGCTATTAATTCCAATTATCATATTTCCCAAAAGACGTTAAAAAAAGTAATTAACTACAATTATTCAATCCAACTTCAATAACAATTATATATTTGCAAAATTAAATGAAAGTAGTAAAAAAACATTTATTTTATGAGTGAATCAAATCCAATTAATAACCATTTCTTTTTTTGATTCATGTTGCACACGTTTAATTAAACTCGCTCACATATCGTGACACAAACCGATGGATGTCGCTTGCACCTAGTATTTATTTATTCATACACCAATATGGATGCAATTGCTTTTTTTATAACAAAATGAAGAGTAAATAATATATTGTAATAGTCCCAACTGACATTCATTTTGAAATATAAATTACTTGATAGCAATTATTATCTAATAACAAATAACTGCAGTGAACGACCAAAATTGAACATATTACAATAAGTGCTTTAATAATGAAAAGAAAAAATAATACAAGAAATACAATTCTCAACTATAATATAAAAGTTTCAAGCATAAGTTTCTACTTTACTTCCCTAATCACCACACAACTTTATGGCTTATATTTCTTTTGAAACTCAATAAAAATGTTTGAATGATTTCTATTATTTATTAAATATTGTATATGTGATTATCTTTATATAAATATTAAACCAAATTGACGATCAATAACTATAACTTATTAACACATAATATAATTGACAACAGATCAAAATAAACAATAAAATGAAATTGATTCACCTCACGGCAGCTTCCATATACTTACATAATCCATATACAAAATGCAGTTAATTGAATCATCAACTATATGCAATGTTTCTATTTGGATCATCCAATTTATTTAAATTATTAAAGATATTCAATTATGATATCCTCTACTATATGGATTTGAAATATTTATTCTCCACGATTATATACCATGTAGCAAATGAATTATCTTTGTTAAGGTACAGCTATCTTCTGTCAAGGTATATTTCTATATACAGCAATCAATCTATATACTATTTCTATATACAGTGTCAATCAGTCCGGTTTGAAAATTTCAAATCAAACTAAATTTTAATTGAACAATAAATTCTTACAAAAATACACGAAATTATTTTTTTATACACAAATGATCGTTTTTTTTTACCTTGATCCTAGATTACGGGATACTGACCGAACCGATTAACCGGACTATGAGAGGTAATGCTGTATTATTGTGATACTCTATGTTTTTCGCTATTTCTTAAATAATTTAAGACTTTTTTCCAATTATCAACGACAAATATGATTAAATACACATTTGACCTTCACAATATATAAATAGTAGTTTTAAACGGCATTATATGATCAACCTAATTACAGTACAGGCAAAAACAACTCACACTCCTGAGGAAAACTTTTGAAAGTCTTGTTTGCATTTCCATAAGATGTGTGGAATAATAAAGCATTTAGGATGCGGTCGGCAAACACAAATAATGCGCTAGATTTATCGTCGCATTTTACGCTCAATTTAAATGCTAATTGAACAACTTGCGTCATTTGCATTAATTGCAATATAAAGTTTGCCGAGAAAAAATACACAAACTTCACTGGAGCACATCCCGAGTTTATGCGCTGTGTAAATTTAAGCAAAACAAATAAATGTTTGAAACTAAGCAATAAGAGTTTGTATAAAAGTTCTTCAAATATGAACCATTAAAATGATTAATTAATGTTAATTTAAGGTCAATTATTAATCAGTAAAGTTAAATATGTTCATAAATGTTTCCGTGAAAGACATTTTCATTTTAATTAATAGTATTGATTTTTTTTATAAGTTGAAAAGTGAAAGAAAAAAATTACTTGTTCGTAAAGATTAATTGAATGAATAAGTAAAAAAAATGTGATCATTAACGTCAGCGCCGACCCTCCATTCATGCGCCACGCATCAACACACTCACACGTACGTGCATATCTTGGCATTAAAGTTGTATTAAAACACAACACGCAGGATTCCCAGGAGATGTGGCATTCACATGCATAATAGAAATAATTGCATGTTTGCCGATGTTGGGAAAACAGCAAGTTCAACAAGAAATAAGCTCATTCACATTAGCCGCCGTTATTAAGCCAAATAACTTCCGACATTAATGAAACAGAACCCAAGCACACGTACAAAAAATTAGCATTGTTTTCCCAACTCGAATTTATCACGAGAGAATGTTTAGATTACTTCCATCAGTTCTTCTTGGTCTCTGTTAATCACGTTTGCTTCTGACAACCGCTAATTAAAGCTCTTTGTTGGTTATAGATTTTTTTTAATGTTAAATATTTTATTATTTGTTTGTTGGACTTAATAAGAAACAAATGAATAACGAACAAAATGAATTCGAAATATGCTGTGAAAGTTCAGTTTACACAAATTAAGAGAATTTACTTTAATCACTTTAAATTAAAATATAAAAGCTTGTATTTAAAATGTTTCCTATAGAAGGATCTGTTAGTTCGCACAAACATACAAGAAGTTCATACGAACGTGATTTTATCATTGATATGTATTCACAAACATTTCTATTAATTGACACAATTATGACTAGCGGCATCTTTTTGAACTACAGATTTTCTGTGCAAACTAAATATCTTGTGGTTGTCAAATTAGTGCAGATCATAAGTAACAAAAATAAGTATTCTTTATGACTAAATTTATAGTTTACTTATTCATTCACAAATTAGACTTGATTACGAAAGATCTTCTGAACATTGGAACAACTAATTTGTATTTATTATCGAGTTTTAAATAAATTTAGGTTTGTTTATTAAGTAAACCAGTAATTATTACTACTTACTTTTGAATTAATTAACGTAGTAATTAATTATATTTCTTGCTTAATGTAGGTAAATTTAAAACTAATTAAGAACTGTAAGTGTAATAAATGTCGTTAATTGTTTCAATTGAAATTATTGGAAAGCAGTAATGAATTGAAAAGTTAATTAAAAAAATATTGATTAAATTGTATGCGCGAATTGTGGGGTAAAAAAGGGGTGTGTGTATGTAAATGTAATTGCGAAAGCGTGTCGCGGATGATGACGAACAGATCACCGAGGGTGACTGGTTATCAATTAAAATATAACATTTTGAATTGATTTGAGCGTCCGCCCCAATCCGATCCACTCATTTGCAATTGGAACTAACGACCGATCGGAATTGAAGCATTTTAAAGAGGAAAACCTACCTTGAAATCGATGTAACCATTTTTGTCCATGTCGAATGTCCGGAAGACGTGATCACAGAACTCTTCGGCATTACCAGATGGGAAGAACATCTTGTACATGTCTACGAACTTGGCAGGAGTCAGACGACCGTTCGGGCAATCTTGCTGTAATTGAAAAAAAGAAAAAAACATTTAATAATATTGAATGGATACAATTGAGGTGGAATTTTCGCGCAATTCCGGCGTTTAAAAAGAAAGTAATTGGGATTTTCTGAAATTCTCTTTCGCTTAATAACGATAAGCCTTTAACATGGAGCAACTCGGACAATTTAAACTTTCTGTTACGGAGAATTAGGTGCACAACTTTCCCAGTTATTAAGTATTGAATTCTAGACAGGCGTTGCGACCAGAACTTTGGGAAACGATGACCGAAGTTCGTGCTGATTTACAGGAGCCACCGCTGCCGTCGCCGTAATGTGATTGAAAATCTAATAAATCCACTGTAATTAAGGACTTGCGGTTTACTTTGATTGCTAATTTTACGCGTTCTGAGGGAGGGTTGCCTTAATGTAGGCCATACATTACCGAAAGCAATGTTCCCTTAAATCTAAAACACTTGTACGCGTTGTAAAAAAGGGACCTACACTGTTCGTTCCCCTTTGAAAAAACATTATCAGAATCAATAAACGCCCTCAAACCGTAGTTTGGATTATTTAAACGTACTTTACAACATGCAATCGGCTGCACTGTATATTCTCGGAATTTGTTTGATAGAGGCACAGATATCTGAAATTATTGGTGTTCTCTTTATTTAACGTAGTAACGTATTCAAACCACGATATTTCCTGTAACTATAAGCCAATAAAGTGAATGAACTACGTATCACCATAGTTGAATCAAGTTTCTAGTTAACTCATTAAACTATACAAAAGATTATACAATTTATTATATTTAAGTTTATTATATGTTTTAAATTATTCATAAAAACAAAAATATTTATACACTTATTAACAATAAACAAAATTTATTGTATACATACAATTCCGTTTAATAGCATTATTTTATTTCAATATAAATATTATGCTTTATAATAATTACATTTAGTTGTTAATCAATAAAAATAAAACTAAAAATATAATCAGTTCTGCTCTCTTTGAAACAAGACTAATAGAGAAAATAAATATAATAGGAAGAAACCTTATAAAGACATTTATTTTTGCTTAATTAAAATTTGTTTTTTAACCCATTATCCTCTTACGGTAATTAAAATACCTGCATATTTATGTCACTATTTAAATTATAAAGAGACGTAAAACAGACCTAAATTATTGTTGGCATTTTAAAGTAATCTTTATATTATATATAAATACGGTTTGTTTTGCAATTGGAAACACCAATTTTAGCTCGGAGTAGTTAAGCAAGGAGAAGATTATTATAATTGAAGTAGTTAATCATTATTAAATTAGTGTTAGAGTGTTATTAAGAATTGTATTAAGTATATAAGTGTAAGATGTAGTTAATAACTCCCCATATAATTCTAGTTAGCATGAAAATATTTTCATTTCTACTTGGAATAGCAATCTATTTTTGAAATTATGATATTATTTTTGAAATTTTTATTACAAACTTTACAACTAATATGCGGATAATACAGATACGCTTTGTTTAAATGACAATGCGTGGAGTATGAAACTTTCATCAAACAAACTTTTCATTACAAAATATACCAGTTTACATAATATTTTCGAAACTAAATACGTTTTAAATAATCCACTACTGCATACATTAATCAGTTTAATTCATGGTTAATAATAGTTAGCTTAGAATTGTGTAAATCGTTAATATATTATATCTTTAATATTAAGATTATATAATACAGCAAAATGCAACAATTTATTCAAGAATATTAAAAATGATGAAAATTAATTGAATTAAACTCCAGTATATTTGTATAAAATTACAATTAAAGAAAATTATATTAATATAGTAGCATAGAGTAATTGAATCACTGCTAAGTGACTAAAACTCAATGTCCACTGCAGCATTTACATTAAACCCTAAACAATTAGGAAGTGGACGTTGCACAACCGTTTTAAATTAACTTAAAACTACACTGTCCCCATTTAACTGGATTATACAAGAGACATATATTCGCACTGAAACGAGACACAACTTTACTTTGTTAATGTCAACCAGCAATGTTTATAGTAGTTGAAACTTAACAGATATGAAACATATATCTAAGATATATGCGGTTTCGATCAGTCCGGTTTGAAAATTTAAAAATAAAATTTCCACAATTTCAATAAAATATAAATAATATAAACTATGTATTTCTTGTTAAATACTAATGTCTCGATTTACATTGATTTAATATTATAAAAGATTGAAATCAATTTATTTGCTCAATTGCTTTCAATGCATATCCTACACCGTATCAAATTATAAGAAATATACATTTACCAAGTGCATTTTCCCACATTTAAATTAATGTTATTCACTTGCAAACTCCATTTGCATAGCGCACTTACGAGAAAATTGCCAGATTTGAATTCAACTTCGCACTGTTTTATAATAACCAAGTAAAGGAAGAATATTATCTGCATAAAATGATATTGCACTTTCCATTTACACTGAAATGTAACAAACTAAAAAAAAATATAATGTTTGTGTACGTAATTATTTTTGGACCGCAAAAATTGATAAAAAAAAATTGTATTAAAACATAAATTAGATTTCATTCTAAGGACCTTTCGTCGAAAGCTTTTAAGCCAACGTAATTTATTTTCGGAGCAGCGCAAAATATGATCAATGCGGATGCGATACATTTTACCCGCTGATCATTTAATTAAAAAGGCTTTCAACGTGGTTTATTGAAGGGATTCGTTTATCCCAAGAAACTCAATAAGTCGTAATTTATTTAGTACATTATTGTACACGTTCCAACCACTCAATTATAATTTATCGTTTTTAAAAATATTAATATTTACGTTAAACCAGATTTAATTACTTGCTTATTCACGACTTCACAGGTTTAGCTGATGAAATTAAAAAAGAATATAAATCAATTATTATTAAGTATTTTTTTTAATTTTCTTCAATTATAAATTAATTGGGAATTAAAGTTAACGGTATTAATTAAAACCGAAGTTTACGAGAATGCGATAGTGGAGGTACGAGTTTTAATTAATCACAACTATTTTAATGAATATTCCTGCAGAACCATACATTTTAAAGTTAATTAAACTTATGAAACTACTTCATAATTCAGTATGCTTTTCTAATAGAAGAAATATTAGTGCAATTTCATAAAACAAATAATAATAAAAGTTATTACTATCAAATCTTATAGATTTCTCTTAATATAAATTTTACGTTTGTTCTTAGGTTCCTAGGTTCTTTAGGTTTCCGTAATAACTGATGATGGAATAATGAATCATCTTCTTTTTTCTAAATTGAATTAAACAACTTTCTTAAACTGTTCAATATCAAGTGCTTAAAATATGTCAATCGGTCTTAAATGTAGAAATTAATTGGATACAAATTCCTCGTGAAAAGTGCAACAGAAAAGATGAAGTGTTTGGTAGTTAATTTGCATGAATATAAAATACATGTAATGACTCGGTCCCTGGAACTTTATAACAAAAGATTCTCAAGATATTTACGAGCACAAAATGTATTATTATACAGACTTAAAGTTTTCCGACAATAGCGAACTTTCTGTAAAATTTTCAGGGAATATAGGTTTACGAACCAGCGAGTTCAGTATAGAAATTCCTTACAAAACTCAAGTCCACAAAAGAATATCCATTGAAAACTTATTAAAAGAAGATGAGAATTTATGTATGAGCAAACACACATACTTGAAATGAAAATAATCGATATCCTCTCGAAATGGATACTTCGCAACATTGGACCTAACGATGCCATTCGTAAAACGAACAACAAATAAAATGACGATTGTTTATGCCTTTGAGAAAATTAAATACGAAAAAATATTGAACTGATCAATAAAAAAACAATATAATTAATGTTGGTTATTATAGAACTGGTATTTAGTAATACTTTTTATTGATATTAATAATTATAGCTCAATTAATACAATTATTGATTACCGTGTTTTCTAATGGAAATTAAACTGTTATTGTCGTATTGCCTACGAACCTTGCAATAATATGTGATTATTTCTATATTTAAGATATAAATGCGATATTGTCTCAATTAAATACATTTCAAATTTTCGATTTGTACTTATATTTTTTAATAGTCGCAACTTTTGGTTTGCTGATTCAATTATAATCAGTTTCAATTTGTAAATAGGATCGATTAAACAAGTAACGCAGCATTGTTATACTTTTGGTGTGTGTGCTATAAATGTTTTGTGTATTTAAGGGAGAGCCAATTTGCGAATCGATATTTCTTAAATAAGTCAAATCCCCCCTGAATTATTTGAACCTTCGATCGATATTTCGATACCCTACGTCTTTCGACTATATTAGTAAGTGCCAGTTCTGAATGGTACCATTTATCAATTACTTAGTTTCTATCTCAAACATTATTTTTCAGAAATTTGATTGTATATAAATAAACAATATGTAAAATTGTTTATTTATTATTTTAGTGTCTATATTTGATTACGAAATATTTTGTATTTATTTCAGGAAAACATTCATTTATTGAAAATTTCAAATAATAAAAAAGTACTACAAATATTCGAATACATCCAATTTTAATTCTTATGTAGTCTAGCGTTGTTGCACACGTTTTACACGCAACAAATTTGTTTATAATTGTTATAGTAATTGGGCACTAAGAGTATTTCAAAAGTTCATTAAAAATATGTCGCGACACATAAGTTGAAAACTTTAAACCAATTCTAATCAAATAATAATACAATATAAAACAATCATGTTGCCAATATTTTTTTATTTTCACTATTGTTTTAATTCAAGTGGATCAGCATCAATGAAGCAAATACCCAATTTATAATCCCACATTATAAATTGTCCTTTCATTTCCCCGAATTCATATCGATTCTAAAATAATACATCCGGCTCCGTGTGACAAAAATCTGGCTACGCTGGGATTCTAAATTCAATTTTAAAGGTCACACTATTTTAATCATCAAACAAACAAAATAATAACGAAGATACATATTTCAGATC